TGCAAAGAACGGTTCCTGAGGCCCGTGCGCTTTAATCGCTTCTCTGGGGCGCCTTCAGCTTCTGCTGACGGTTTTTCTTCCCGATCGGGACGCGTTCGAGCGGCCAATACGGCTTGTTCGACTTCCTGTCGCTGCTCTTGTACTCGAAGTGTCGATGCATCGTCAATGACCCCCGGTATACCTTCACAATCATCACGCAACAGATCACCTACAGATGATAGACTTATTCCGTCAGGCGTATCCACACTGTGTCTTTCATGTCCTTCGTCGTCGGAGTCAATTGACAAACAAGTGTCAGTGTCATTTCCGGTGATTGATGCGCGTTCCACGTCGTCTTCGTCTGCGGTCTCATGAATTCTCTGCTCGGCGGTAAAATGATCTTCGTTATCGTCGTCTTCGTCTGCAGTCTCATAAATTCTCTGCTCGGCAGTAAACTGATCCTCGTAATCGTCGTATTGCTTTTCTACTCCAATGCTGATTATGTCATGTAGCGTATCGCCCATGACTGTCGCCTCAATAGCCGTAGATAAATCATCTTCGCGCAAGGGTGGAATTCCGTGTTCTGCCGTGATTTCCGAGTCTTCTACTGGGATGTCCGAAAAATCAACTTCTCCCAAGCGATAGTCGTGAAAACGATTGCGGTCACCATAAAGGAGGGAGTCATCAAAATCCACATTTGGTGCCCACTTGCGTGTGTTTTCTGCTGGAATAAAAACCTTGTATCCAACATGATCCTCTTTAGGACCAAGAAGAAATCCAAATTTAGCATTTTCGAAATGTCTTGGTCGGTCAGGGTCCTTCGGCACATGAACATATGCTAGAGATCCAAATGTACGCACGTGGTGAATGTCGAATTTCGTTCCAAACATTTTCTCGAATGGTGTGCATCCGACAATCCTGTTGTAGATTCTGTTCTTTAAGTATACTGCATACTCCATTGCATCTGGCCAGAACATCTTTGGTAGAGCTGCGTGTCGAAGCATCGTTTTCGCCATGTTTCCCAATGACTGGTGTTGACGCTCGACAGGATTCATGTGTGAGCTCTTTGGGCCGACTTTAATGTGCTCAATCCCTTGTGCTTGGTACCACGAGTCAATTTCACCATTGACAAACTCTCCACCCTTATCAGTAAGGATTGAATGTACCTTGAGATGTGGCACTCCTGCCCTGAGCTTCTATTGTCTTTCCACAATCTTCATGACTGAACGACCCGCCTGTCGCTCCGCCCAATGGACGTAAGCCTTCATGAGTGGGTTAACAGTCGACGCGTCTTTACGCTTCAAAAGATGGACCGTCAAGTAACCTGAGAATCCATCCATTATCACAAGTATCGCAGTAAAGTGAGTGCCGTTGTTCTTCGCTGGAAACATCAAGTCTGCATAGACAACTTGATTTACTGCTGTTGTTTTGCGATCCTTTTGCTTATTTCTTCGTTTGCGTCGCTGTTTGCCGATGTGGCACGCGTCGCAAGTCGTCGTGTGACGTGCTGTTACAACCATACCATCTACGTGCCCCTGGTCTGCCATAATCTTTAGGTATTGATCGCACGTGTGACCCAATCTCTCATGCCACTGTTTCATAGGTGCTTGCCCAGCAGCCATTGTAAAATTAACAAGTCCAAACTGAGCCGGCGTGTGCACATCCACATCACCAGCTGTAACATCATGATGCGAGCTTGATATTTCCTCTTTAATCGTTTTTGTCGCTTGCATGTTCGATGATAAAAAAACCCACATTCCATCAGAAAAGACTGCTTTGGCAAGCGCAGTCCCTCGACGAGATACCACGAACTCCATGTTCGTTGATAAGCTAATGTCCAGCCCGTGCTCGATAGCCTTGCCCGGGGGAAATAGACCATGCTTTGCATCTGGAACATGAAGCACATCATCTAACATCAAGCAATGCTCTTGATCGTCCACCTTAGTGCCTATTACCACTGTTCCAACTCCAGCAACCATAGAGTTAAGCCCCGCCGATATACCTGACAAACTTGCTTTCGAATCGGGTGGAGCGGGGTCATATGTCACAAATGCTTCGCGAACACTGGTAACGTGAACATTTGCTCCAGTATCGAAACACCAGTGATAGTCGATCGGTAATGTCGTTTGTGGTTCCTTGTCCTGAATATGCTCCCCAACGGTATTGAACGTAGTTTCAATTTCCATATGATCCTCCAACGACTTAACATTGTCCTCAATCAAATGAGCCTTAGGTTCTTCAGCATTTCCGGCACTTGGTGTCATAGATGGGGCTTGAACATTAAACATGGCACGCGATCTTTTTCCTTTGTTATCTTCCGACTCAACTGCATTCGGGCAGTCTCGCTTAAGATGACCAATCTTGCCACATCCATGACATGTTCGAGTCTCTGTCCGATGTGCACCTGCACCATTGTTCTTCATCTTGCTGTACCTTTGCCGGTTTTGCTTCTTGTCGCAATGGGCCTTCGTCTTGTAACCACATGTATCTCTTTCATCACTTTTGTAAGATGAGCGTCTAATTTGGTAGCGCGAACTCGCCGTTCGTATTTGCTCTTCCAGCTCGTCAATGTCAGAAGCGGGGGAGTTTCCACACCAGTTTTGCGTTTGTATTAGTGCAAATTCATCAATCTTGGCCGGTAAGCTTTGAAGCACGTACATCATCATCGTTGTAAACGATACCGTATGACCCAAGTCGGCCAATTCAAGCTGCTTGCTTCTCATCCGTCGCAGATGCACTTCAATATCCTCAGTGACGTTGTATCTGCAGTGTCGTAATTCTTCCTCTAATCGCTGCACTTTGTGGAACACAGCCACTGTCGACGATCGGTTGGCATATCGTCTCGTCAAAGCAGCCAACATCTTGCTTCCTGTTGGTTCCGTCCTGTAGAGCTCTGCCAGTTCCGCTGAAAGTGACATTAAGATCGTTTTACGAATCTTACGCTCTATCTTGGCCAACTTCTGCTTTCCTTCATCAGTCACAAGATATTCTGCCTTGATGCGTCCGCATGCCACATCCCAAATCTCGTCATCATCATCCATATCCTGGAACGTCATCTTCATCATTTCGAAGTACGTGTGCCAGAACTTTCCATTCCAGTTCACTGGGATACCATCCTTGGTGTAGAGCTTCATATCCGTCGTATTGGAGCTCACGCCCGAAGCGTGCTCGCAGTGGATAGTACTTGGGCTCATAACCCTGTTGTGTTGAGAACCCGCTTCCGCCCTTAACGTAGTTTTTGGAACTGAACGCTCATTATCTTTATATGAAACTACTACCTTCCTACTACATGTATATGGTGTCGTCTCCCAGAGTACTAACTGCAGCAACCTCCCTCTGGGACTTCACAGTCTGTTTACATCAACATTTCCTTCCCATACAGGGACTTCACTGTGTGTTTACATCAACACCTTCTTCCCATACTAGGACTTCACTCTCTGCCGAAGTCATCCATCGAATCCTTCTGTAGTACGCGAAGGGTACTCACCCTTCAACTCAACCGTCGGGAAAGTCTTCTTACCACACTGATATACTTTTCACAACACACTGGCCGTACTGCTGCAATGAAAGTTGCGACTGTTCATACAGCAGCTGAGGCTGCATCGCCGAATAGCGGAATTGCTGAAATGGCGGCGGCTGAGATTGAGGTGGTCCAAAATGCTACGGCTGATGAAACTGCTGGGACGAACCCTCTTGGTAAAAGTCTGGTTGGGGCGGCACAAACTCAGAATCTTCACTTGGGGTCGTCAGCACCGAACGTCTTGCAAGCTCCGCAGCTTCTCTTGCAGCAGCTGTTTCGGGTTTTTTTGTGGAACACGTTTTACTGTTATGTTTGACATACTTTCTGCAACCATGACACATTTTTAAGTATCGTCGCTGCCGCAAAGGTTTGGGCCAGAGCGTTCAACTTGTGAAGGCGCACCGTTATCCTCAGGGAAAGAGCCATCAACGTCTTATTGTTCATCATCTGGCCGTTTAGAGCTCAAGTACCTTTCACTTGCACTGGCCATGATAGCGATACAAAGTGAAAAGTACTGTGCGAAATGCTCACACGCGTTGAAAAACTCAGATCAGATTCAGTCCGGACTCGTTCGTCGTTATCTTACCCAAAAAAAGGAAAACTTCACCCTATTAGGATCAAATGAGCGATGGGTGCGGGTTAATTTTTCCGTGGGTGCGGGTTAAATTTTCCGTGGGTGCGGGTTAGACCCGCCCGCGATATTGGGGGAAAGAAGACGACATCTGACGCGTTGGGAATGGGACACGGCATACTCTTGATGCGACTATGCAATCGGAGCGATCGGATGCCGGAATGCTGGAGGACGTAACGTGCTTACAGGTGTACGGTTCGAGTTCTCGATGGCTTCGGCACTCCGCCTGTGATAGTCCTGATCTGTGTCAGCATGTCCAGATGATGTGACAAAGCCACTCGAGTACGTCGCTGGCGTCCACATGAAGGCATTCGTGGAAGGCGACTGCAGGAGTCCAGACTTGGTCACCGATTTCATCTTACATGGCGGTAAGACGTCGCCGTGGTGTGGATGTGGTTCATTGCTTCGCGGTCGACGAGCGTGTTCGTTGCTGACTGTCTGGACGTACGGCTGGCTACAAGCACAATCGCCTGCCCGAGTCGTCGACTGACTCGGGGGACTCACGCTACGGCAAACACTCGTAGTCCACAGAGAGGCACTCCTTCCGCTACTATGCTGGCCAAAACAAAGCGTTTCGGTCGACTCGAAGCCCATCATGTCCACGTCAGTCTGAGTTTGTCGTCCTTGTCACAGTCGACATATTAATGCAGTAGAGGCAACAAGGCAGCAAGGGGCTTGACCCCGCCTCGTTGGAACACGCCAAAGCTCAACCATGTGTGTATTGAAAGTTTAAACGCGCTTGGTCCACAGCAGCTGCCGCTGAGCGAACTCGGCTTCTCTACCTATACTGCCTCCTCACGCCAAAGTCTCTACGACATCCGAGATGCAAACTACTTGAGCCGATACGAGACAATCACCACGCACCGTTTACTATTTCGTAATGGACAAAATCCCCGGAGACGGTTTATACTGATACGACCGCTCCCTAGACATGCCAGTAAAAACATTGTACTGCTTTTGCAGATCATTGGCGAAATTGTCCAAGTCGTCTCGCCCTTCGACGTGAGTCCCCCTTAGCTTCTTGAGTAAGTTGTTGACATCGTCTTGCTGTGCTGCCGCCGGGAGCTCGAAGATTGTCTTAAAAGCCTTATTGGCTGCATGATTGGGTCCCAAAAACAAAAGCTGAGCTACCTCATCAACACGAAGAGCCTTGGTTGGCTCAACCCGTCTGAGTCCCTCATTGTACCTGATCCACTGGACTGCAGTGTTCGGCTTCGTTGCAATCGATTCGATCTCGAGCGTCTGAAGCACATTGAAGGGACCCAGCTCCGACTGCTTCCACACGTTGACCAACACGTCAGATTCGGGCGGAAGCGATTCAGCGAACGCATGCTGCAAACGGTCAAAATGTTTGCTGGCAGCGACGTGTCCGAGCGAAAGGGCTAGTCTCTCCTTCTGGTCCGATGAGAGCTTCAGCGCTAAAAAAGCTAACGGCTCTTTTTCGCTGTGGTAGAAGTTCTTCGCTTCTGGCGTGTCAACATACTCCAGCCACTGTACGATGGCGCGAATAGTGACAGGTTCCTTAGGGCGAACAAACTTGTCGAAAACGGATGCAGGGGATCGTCGTGTGAGAAAAACCCACATATCGTCACGTAGACTGTGTAGTGACTTCACCGGATCAAACCCTCGCTCCTCCCTTTGCTCGTTGTCGAGGCCGGTCCCGTCCACAGCCGAGTCGGGCAAAAGCCTTGGACCGACAGACGCGGTCGTGCCCACAGCTTTGCCGTGTGACTTCAGCGGTCCTGGATCACCAGGTGCGGCATCATGGAGGCGTAGAAGAGTGCTTTGGTTGAAAGCGACAGCATGGGACCGAACATCGTCGGGGGCCACCGACGCAGCACTTCCGCAGAGAAATGAGCCGATGGCTGCGAGCACAAGAGAGCGCATGTGCAAGTTGGTGTCGAGTGGCTGCAAGTAAAAGCGAAAGTGAGAGAAACGCGTGGCACTTCTTTCGGCTGCAACGTGCGAGCCAACCGTTGGTACGGTTGCAGGAGATCTGGTCGTCGTCGTACTCTGCAGATGATGACGGAGTATCCCATAAACATGATTAGGCCCAGTTCAATGAAGTTCGGTTGCTATTCCTGGGAATCCTTGCACGAGCGTCATCAAGGATCACCCAGTCGGCGCCCCTCCTGAAGCTGAGCGCATCACCGTAACCTTCTGGTCGGCGGATAGCTCCAGCGTGAACAAAATCCATACGCACGCACGGCTAAGATCCAGTGCCGGGTGAAGAAGCCTTTATCTCTACCACAAATCACACCACAGAGTCATATAGCCACACGTGGCAGAGCCGTAGACCATAGAGGCAGCTTCAGCTTGAGGACAGACGGGTTTGACACAGCCGAACTGCAGGTCGTCGAAGGCGAAAAGCAGCCACACAGATGGAGATATGTTTGGTGCACGGACGTCTCAGTGTTGCAGAGACAGACGCTTGCGACTTTACAGAGAAAGCACAATCCTGAAGTATAGTTCCATGCAGACTCTTTCCTGAATCCCAGCAGAAGCGAATGTCTCACGAATGGTTATGGACCCACTGATGGGTACGAGCGCTGATTGTCGTCGGCAGGTGCCTCTCTCATCATAGACCGATCTTTGGTACGTTTCTGTGAGTATCCAGACATCGAAGCATGTAGTCCTTTGCCATCCTACCTGTCTGAACATGCGGAGCACAAGTAGGTCAGATCGATTACGACTTACAAGAAAATGTCCGGCTACAACTTTGGATATGCGGCGCGTAAGGCTCATCACCATCATGTGCACTGTAACGGGGTTACACGTCGACTGGTAGTCGACAATAGGTGTGGTACACACAAGGGTTGGGATCCTTTTAAAGTAAGATTAGAACACAGTATCAATTGTTGAAGACTGATGTCTGTCAACCATTGATTACGAGATCTTGTAATAGGTTTATTTAGGACATAAGTGGGCAGGTTATTTACTTTGTCATACGGTGTTCTTTTAGGTTAAAAGAAGAAATACAATTCAGTTCCCATTTTGATCAACAAAAGACACGTGCCTCTCTGAGGCGTCTTGCGATCGTAAGGAAGTAGCAACGCCTTGCTAAGGCAGCTACTCCTTGTGCACTTAGTGCGATTGATTCTTTGAATCGTTTGGTCCCCCTGGAACAGGGACCGTAAGCTCTTTGAGCTTGTTGACTCTTTGAGTCGGGTTCTTTGAACCAACGTTTTGCTCTCGGAGCTGTTGACTCTTTGAGTCGGGTTCGTAGAACCAAAGTTGTTCGTAAGAGCGTTAAGTCTTCCTCTGACTTAAGGAGCCGTGTAGCTCCGCCCCACTTGGTAGCACTCGTAGTCAATCTACGCCTGAGTCGGTAACGACTGATCCTCTGTGAGGATGGAGCAATCCACACCCCTCTCTGAGGCTCAAAAGGTCGCGCTTGAGAAGCTGACCGCAGCCGTAGGCCCTGAGTATGTGGAGTTTCTAGCTGCACAAGGTCCCGATGTGCTCAATGCACGAGTCGAGGCCTTCACGAAGTATGAAACGGCCCTGTTAGGGCAGGTTCAAAACCAAGTAGCGTCGGCTATGCCAACACGCTACGTGGTGATGCCAACTGAAGAGGCTAAGCCTCGTCCCCTTAGGGTGGACGTTAAACATTACTCCGGGAAGGAGGGGGGAAACCTGACCCTCTGGATCCGTGAGATTGAGATGGCCATGAGCTCTGGTCTTATCTCACTGGAGTATAAGCGGGTCTCGCTGGCCATCTCCAAGCTCGATGGAAGAGCTAGAGAGTGGGCTCTGACGTGTGGCACGTCGGTCGACTTGGCGTTTCCCACATGGGATTCGCTCAAGTTAGACCTTTTGCGAGTTTTCTCGCCGCCTAACCAGGCCTATCGCGTGCGCTCACGCTTCTTGTCTACCCGTCAGGGTAAGAATGAGTTAACGGAATATGTCCAGGAGTTGAGAACTATGATGGCTGCTATGCAGTCTGACCCTCTCCCTGAGACAGTCTATGTGACTGTCTTCATAGAAGGTCTTCGCAATGGCGTTGCCAGGACCGAGGTGTTTCGGGTCCATCCATCTACTTTTGAAGAGGCGGTGAGCATCGCTCAAAATGCTGAACACAACTTCAAGTCGGCCAGACTTATTTGGAATGGGTACAGCCTAAGCTTTGCGAAGGCAGCCTCTGCGAGAACCTCGGCTTACTGTAAGCCAGAACCGATGGATCTCAGCTATGCTGAAGATGAAGTTGAAGCGGAGCTTCATGTTGCAGAGCAACGACAGGATGTGAAACGCTGTTATATGTGCGGAAGCACTAAACACTTGCGTCCCACTTGTCCTTTGCGTAAGCAACAACCGACTCATATGGGTCGAAACCCCAGCCACAACCAGAAACCTGGTATGGCACGGGGAAACGTCGACACCCAGTAGGCGCGGGGCGCCCTACTGGGGTAGAACTGAGTTCTGTTGCTTCTCTACGAGGTAGAGTGAAACATGGCTTAGCCCCACCGAGCTATGTGCCCACCAGCACAGATCGTGGATACAAGCCTGGCTTGTTAGTCGCCGAGGTGAAGATTAAAGGCTTTGAGAAGCATCGGTCGATCCTAATCGACTCCGGAGCATCATGCAATTATGCTCGACGTCGTTCCCTTGAGGGAAGTCAGCGATACGCTGAAGCGCTCAAAGCGCACGAGGGTGATTCAATGACCGTTCGTTTAACGACTGGAAGTCGCGTCACGGTGCCCAAAATTCCGTTGAACTTAGGTGTGAAGTTTTTGGACTTTGACAACATTGAACGCTGTCTTGTCCTCGATTTGGATTCGAGATAAGATCTCATCCTAGGCATGGCCTGGCTTGAACGCCATGAGCCATGGATCAATTGGAGGTCTAATACCTTAGGCGCCACGCGCAATGTTCCTAGCGAATTTTTGGAGAGTCATGAATCCACCCTTGCTAGGCAACAAAAGCGCTATTGGCGCGAGCCATTGACGGAAGATGTCAATGTGCTGGACATTGGTATATCAGAGTTAATTAACTCCAATGTCAATGACATCAATCTTGAGTGGAGCTCTTTCACCGTATGTGAGGGGAGTTATACTCTGTTGAGTGATACTCGTTGTGATACTGAGTCACTGCATGCTGCAGGCATGGTTTTCCTAGGGCCGAGACATCAAGAATGTAATTCCCCTAATGTGAGTGGGGTGGCGCGTGAAATCCCACCGAGTGAGGGCGGCCGAGGTGGCACCCCACTGAATGTCGGTAATGACATTGTTGGCGAGTAGACAGAGTGTTCAGGGCTAGGACCGATGGCTGTATTGAAGTGGTACGTCTATATTTACTGGGTGAAGCGTTCGAGTTGCGTAAAACTTCACCAGATGTCGTTCAAGACATGAGCTCTCGTATAGAGCGTGCTAAGATGAATAGCAACCAAGGGGACCCTACTTTCCCGGCCTCTACTAGGCGTAAGGTTTCTTTGAGGAAACAATCTCAGCGTAGGGTGGCAACTGTTAAGAGCCCCACGTCTAAGAAGTCACGAAGTGATAATAGTAATTATACACTATATACACTTGTCAATGGGTTGACTGGCCATGTTGATGGCAACATTAGCCTTGAGACTCTTCCATCTTTGGATACTCTCTTTGAACTAGACGAAATTTCTGGCGGCGAATTTAGCCAAGCCTTACAGGCAGGAGAATTATCCGAGTTAGTGGTCATTCGACCGGATATTGAGTTGAACTCATCCTCGTTATTGGACGAGTCTGTCCTTGAGGACACAAAGGCGGCATTGGATGCCCGTAGTGGATCGTCGATCCTTAAGGATCCTCTTGATCCTTTCTATCCTTTGGTAAAGGAATTTCCGGACGTGGTGTGTCACAACCCACCCTCCGTTTTGCCTCCCGATAGAGGTGTACGTCATGAAATTGACTTGGTTCCTGGAACTAAATACTGCTTCACACGGCAGTGGCCTTTACCGAAGGAACGGTGTGACGTCATTGACGACTTCTTTCGTACAAAGCACGCGGCAGGAATGGTGCGTGAGAGAAAATCTCCCCATTCCACACCGATCTTCTGTGTCAAAAATCCCAATGGGAAGTGGCGCATTGTTCATGCTTACAATAAGCTTAATGCAGCCACCATCCCGGCTCAGACACCAATTCCGAGGAAGGATGTTCTTCAGAACAATATGGTGGGATGTACAATGTACAGTGCGCTCGACTTAGTCAATGGTTATTACCAACTTCTCATGCGAGAAAGCGATATTCCGCTGACAGCGGTCAGCACTCCAAGCGGTGTGCTCTGAGAGTGGCTTGTTATGCCGCAAGGGGTATCAAATGCCTGGGATACATTCAATCGTCTTGTGACACAATTGTTCAGACCTCACCGAGGATATGTACAGACGTACTTTGATTACATTTTTGTCCATATTCGTGCTATGAACGGTCGGTCAGATGTGGATAATCACATTGACCATTTACGAGCGGTGCTCGAGTGAATGCGCACGAATAAGTTGTACGCCAACGCGTCTAAGTGCATCTTTAGTTCAGAAGAGATTCCCTTTTTAGGGTGCTTTATTGGTAAGCGAGGCCTTAGAGCGGATCCCGCTAAGGTAAAAGCCATAGTTGATTGGCCGGTATCAAAGAACCAAAACGAATTACGTAAGTGGCTTGGCCTTGCCAATTACTTGCACAAGTGCATAGCGAATTACGCAGATATGGCTCGGCCATTATCCAATATCCTTAAAAAGGATGTGGAATGGTGCTGGACTAGCACCGAGCATGATGTTTTTCAAGCAGTAAAGGAGAGTCTCCTTTATGCGCCAATCTTGGCTTTGCCTGATCCTGATCGATCTTTCAGTGTCGTCTGTGACGCATCTGACTTTGACATAGGCAGCGCCTTGTTACAGACAGATTCTGATGGACGGAAAAGCGTCA